CGGGGGGGGGGGGGGGGGAAACCCCTCTCCCCCTCCCTAATCAGGTTCCTTCTGGGGCCTGCCCCTGCCCCCCCCCCAGCTCAGTACTGTAAAAGGGAAAGGAGGGCTGCTTTAGTGCCCCCCCCCTAGCCTCTAGCCTGAGCTACTGCAGGCACATGCCTGAATTTCTTCAGTCCAAAGGGAATGTCTGTGCAGTTGCAAATTGGTTCAACCTAGGCATGTTAAACTAACCTACAAAGATTGAATCAATTCAGGCTCAGGCTTTTTGAATATCTGTCCCTAGCCCAGAAGAGATGAGGATAACTATCCCGGAGCAATATTATCAGTTTGTGGCTACTGTGTTTCTGCTGTGGATGGCATACACAGTCTATTAAAGTGCCTAACCTAAAGGAATAAGTAGCAACTTGAATCCTAAAGACCTTTCTCTTTAACGTAAGATTGAGGTGGGAACTACACTTTAAATCTCTTAAAAGAAAAATTGAGTGAAAGAGGGCAACCCATCTACTGGTTCACATCTTCATCTGTTTTTGTTGAGTGATACCGACTCTGCCTGCCTTTGTCAGCTTGTTGTTAATGCATCTAACACTAAACTATAAAACAGATGAATTCAGATTAATGTCTAATGATTCTGCACCTGATTTATGTTTCAAGGGTCCTAAAGGTGAAGCAGTTGGCTCAATCACTCAACCATTACCCAGCAGTTACTTGATCATCCGAGCAGCTTCAGAATCTGATGGTAAATAAACTTTGTTTTGTTTTTACTTTCAAAGCAACTGATTAGTGAAATCAGATGATTCCATTTTTCTTTTACAATAGCAATTGCAGCATCATGTTTTGCAGTTACAGGTGCTCTTTTTATTAAGTTGGTATATTTAGGTGGTTCTAGAGAAAACATTTTTATTTAATAATGCAACTTTTGACAAAATAAATCATAAACTGATTTTTTGGGCTAAGTTCAACCTGCTTAACAAATGAACACTGTACCCTGGGTCAACATTTTAAATGCCAAAACCCTGAAAAGTTATAAAATGAATGGCAAGACGATGTAGTTTTGCAAAGCTACGTTTGTGCAATGGTTCTTGCAGTTTAATCATATCAGTCCAGTTTAATTTATGTACATCTTATACATACATAGCACTGTTTTCAGTTTAAGTTTGGTAAACTTCAAGAAGATGTGAAGAGTGACTTTCCTGAAGTTCCCACCTAGTTTGTATGGCTTAAATCTGTTTCTTATCTCTCAAATGTTTGGTGCTACCCTTTTAATGTGAAATACTCACTAACCTTGGAAACTGGTATACTAGGGGAAATGGTAAAGATGCCCTACAGAAGGATCAGATTGAAAGAACAGATGTTTCCTTTTCATCTGGAAATGTTAGATCTTGTCTATTTGACTCGACACTTCTTTTGATTGTCTGCAAAATAGGGTGCACAATGGAGGACATAAGATCAATAAACAAATAATAATGCTCAGTATGAAAAAGGTTAGTGCTTAGGCCCCCAGGGTTCAGACTTAATGATTGGTAGAGGTTTTTAATGTTTTTCCTCCTCTTCCCAATCTTTAGCATTGTGCATCTTGCACATGAAGTATGTTTGTTTGGTCACTTTAATATTAAGATGGTTTCTATCAAAACGGGATGAAAGATGCAAGAATATGTATCTGAGCCCTACTGTTGAAAGGCCCAGAAAATAAGGTGGTAGTCACCTTATATGAAGGTAGAGACATCTGCCATACTGTCTAGTATGCCATTCTGGCCAGTCCTGCCCAGAAGTCTTTCTCTCACCAAAGCTGGCCATGAAGTATTTTTATAATTTAGCACATGAAGGGTATTACATCAAAGATGCTGAAGAAACAAACTGTTACAGAAGATGCATGCTTGTTTTCCAAAGATAAAGTGAGCAGGTGTCCTAAAGAACTGTGAAGTGAACAGTATCAGATTTGATGATAATGTAAACATTTAAAGAATTTGATTTATTAATAAGCCTCTGTCTTTAGGCAGGTGTTGGATGGATGCATTGGAACTGGCTTTAAAATGTTCAGGCCTACTTAAACGTACGATGATTAGGGAAGGTAAAGAACATGACTTGAATGTTCCAGCAGAAAATGCACATGTATCTTTCTATGGATTGCTGCGTGCTAACAACTTGCACAGTGCAGAAAACTTCCCGTAAGTAAACCAAGCCCTTAATTTAAATGTTATATAGAAAGAACCAGACTATGAAAGGCTGTTTAAAATTCCTGTGTCTCAGACACATTCATTAATTTGAAATGACAGTTATGGTCCTCCATGGCAAGAGCCTCTTTTAAGATGGGTGTTTCAACTGCATTTCAATTTTGTGGGTGCAAATACCTTCATTTTTTAAATAGAACTTTTCAGTGACACAAGGTGAAATTTCACCTTTAATCATCCAATCTTTTCCTTGCTAGAAACAGTAAAGAATTCTTCTCATCTTGGCTCGGTCTTAATATTGGCTATCCCTCTAAAATGCGTTCTATTCAGAAGGTAGATTTTAGTGCTCACATAATGAGCATTTTGAAAATATAATCTTAACCCAGCAAGGTGAATCAGTGGTATTTACAAAAAGGGGCACTTATTTTTCAGACTGACCACATTTATTTAAAGAATACAGCGAAAGACATTGACCTTCTCTTAAATAATGTATTCTGGAACTTCAGTCATTGTCTGGTACATCTGGAAATGCAGCTGACTGATATAAGTTGTTTACAGTTATCCTTGATGTTGCATGTGCCTGGAAGAACTCCAAAAGCCACAGAGCCCCAGTTCTGGGAGAATACACTAAGAACAATACATTTTGAAATTGATATTTAGTACTTTCACTCTCTAATACTGGACAACAGAAACAAAAGTGTACTGTGTCCCTACTTCTTGAATTTTCATTTTCTGCTTGGAGATATGTAGCCAAAAAGCTTTCCTTGATTACTTGAAAGATGCAGATTGTACCCACAACAAACCATTTGATTAGCTTTCCTCTTGAATTGATCAAAATATGCCTTGACTTATTGCTTGTTCCCTTTTTTCATGATTTTAAAACAATTTTAAAGTATTTTTGGACAAGCAAAACTTTTCTTACATAATGTAGCACACACTCCACATATGTGTGCATATTAAGCTTATTTTTTGACAGACCATTTCTGTGTGATAACAGTATTTGTGTTTTTTTTGCTTTTTTGTTTTTTTTTTGTTTTTTTTTAAAACCTCAATTGTGGTGTCTTTATGTGGTCATCCCTTATAAACAGATTTAGAAGTCATTTAAGTTCACTGTTTGCATCTGGGTTAAGAAGGCTTTTGTCTGAGAATTTCCTCATGCTTTAAAAAACCAGGAATACCTTGTAGCAACAAGCTAAGCTCGGTTCCATGTCCTGCTTCCTGTACATGCATCTCAGCCTTTTCTGCTTTACGAATGGTGCATTAGAAAGTATGTGCCAGGAAATCTCGACCTCCACGATTTTTCCATCTTTTCCTTTCCCCACGCCATCTGTGCGCCCTGGGTCAGGGTGTGATTGATCTTTACTCCAAGTAGGTGCCCTCCTCTCGTGTTTGTTGCTTGTCTCCCCAGGATAGGATGTTGATTTTAGTTAGAGTATACTGGGAAGACCTCTTATTTGGAGAAATACAGCGCTGTTGGCTAATCAGCCTGAAAAACCTGCACTGAGGTTGTCTTTTTACCTTAGACCCAAGTATTTGACACAGTTCATGGAGCCATTGTATACAGACAATCAAGTAACTTTAGGGACTCTTGAAATGCCTCTGGTCCTCCCACTCCACACTAACTCCTTTCAGCCAATAAAATGGCTGTATGCAACCCGGTTGGAGATGATTAAATTGGTTATCCCTAAAACACTAATGCTGCTACTTAATGTGAGCTGTTTAGTTGGTACAGATTATGATCATAGTTCAGATGCAATGAACAGTTTAATTAAACACTAAAATAGTTCCTTTTAAATATAGCTTATTTCTAGAGTTTTAATTAGGCAGAATTTGAAGGAGTATTCATGTTTAAGCTGGTTTGCTAGAAGTAATTGAAAAATACAACTTGCCAAAAAAATCTTAAAATAGGCCCCCCCTCCTTTTTTCCCAGGTACATGTAACTCATAAATATATAGACAGTGAGGCTAGCTGTACATTTTTGGGGAAGATTTTAACCAGTGGGGGAAGAGGAATGGAAAGCAACGTCAACTGAACACAGTCATTGCTAGAGAAATGTTAATGAGATGGCATTTCCCTGAGCTCTGTCTCTTGCTTTTAAGTTGTGCTGTACTATCCTTTTTGATATAGGAAGTTCAGTTTTCTCAATTGTATTAACTAACTGGACTACATATCTACTTGCGTGTTTCCCTGTGTGCACACAACATGCTTTTTAAACTAGCCTCCCCCCCCCTCTCAAATTACCTAGGTTACTGTTAAACATCCTTAACCATTTACTTTTTCTTATGCTTAAGCACCAAAAAAGCAGGTCTTAAGAAAGTTTTCCCTTACAGAGGTCCTTACTTCACAAGGGCTGGTAACAATTTATTAGTTTAAAACAAAGCAAGCTAAAATAATACATGTCTGAGAAATGCAAGTTGGTAAAGGTCCTATATTATTAAATGTTACTAAGTGCTGTCAGGTCAGGATTGATGACTGATGTCCCACATCATGGTAGGTCTTGAGTTTGGAGGTATGGAAGTGTTGGAGTTGGTAAACTGCAAAATTTGACATTTGTGTCTTTTTTTCACTTCAGACTAAATGACAGTGAAATTGAAAGGCAGCATTTTAAGGATCAAGACCTGTACTCTGACAAATCTGATAAAGAGAATGATCATGATCATGATGAGTCTGATAATGATGGGCTGGGGAAAAGTGAAGAGAGTGACAGTGACACGTCAGAACGGCAAGATGACTCTTACATTGATCCAGAACCTATTGATGATCTCAAAGAAACTACGTATTTGGAAGAAGCTCATGAAGAACTTGGAGAGGTAAAAATGTCATCTTTTGTAGTGCCTGTCTTATTTCTGGATTTAAAATTGACATCAGCATTTTGTCAAATCAAATAGGACAAAGTTGCTGTGTTGAATTGGCCTTTATTTTAAGCAGGCTTGCCATGCAGCATGCACTACTTGTCCTTTGGTAGATTCCTGCTGTCCACCATTCATGGGGTTGACCAAGAGCTTTTAGGAAAGGTGACTAATATGATTCTGAACCATTTTGTTCTGTATTGTTGATATAGCTTGTTAGTTTAAAGAGGCAGTTTTGAAACCAAGGAAAAGGGCTAGAAGCATTTGTTTTTTAAATGTGAGTTGATTCTCCTTTTTATATAGTTCTATTTTTCATTCTGTCAAAGGGGCCTGGAGTCACAGGATTTGCAGGACTTAGTGGCTGACTTGTCTTCAGTTTGCATTAGCACTTTGCATAGTAATTCTCCATTGGTTCTGTGTGGGAACTAAATTATATATTTTATTACTTTCAAATACAACTGATTTGTTTTTATAGTTACATTGTCTGAAAAGGAATCCTTCAATGGTTACTCTGGCATCTTCCCCTAGGAAAAACTTTTTTTACCAGCAGTAGAGAGTAGGTAAGGTGGCAGGTAGTAATAGTTAATCTGTCACTCAAAAATAGTTACCTATTTTTGGCCTCAAAAATATTTTTGCTTTTAACTGCTCAACTAGCCGATAGTTGTTTTTGAAATACAACCTAGTTTTTTGTTCGCTGACACTGCTGTGTTCCTTTTTTTATTTTATTTTATTTTATTTTTTTTTTTTAAAGATCTTTCTCATAGACTAGAACAGTGGTTTTTGACTGGTGGTCCACAAACTGTCTCAGGGGTGGGGGGAGTCTGTGAAAGATGACTGTGATCAATCAAAAGTGTGTGAGTTTTTAGGGGTCTTCACATGGGAAACTGGTGCCTCCTGAGTCTGGGGGGACACCCACAGACAACACTGCAGGTGGTGTCATCAGCAGGGGCAGAGCTGGTGAGCACCCACAGACACGGCTGGTGGTGTCATTGGTGAGGGCAGAGCTGGCGAGTGGATACTGGCAGGGACGGCCCTGTCGGGGTGGCACTTGCCCCCCTGTGCCCTCCCTACCAGTCACCTATGGGTCTGCAAATGAGAAAAGGTTGAAACCACTGGACTAGAATGGCCATTTTTAAGTGTGCACAGCAGCATCAGGGAAGTAGTCTCCTAAGGGAAGAAAGGAATGAGAGACCACTGAAGGGCTGAGGTGTAGATCTGAAGTAGGAGGCAATATTCAAAATAGTGAAGAGCTGCCCATGTCTGCCACCTGAACCACATCTAAGAGAATAGAGGGGAAAATAATTGATGCCTGGAAAAGGAGCCAAAGGAAAGAGCTGACCATAGTTTTATCTGGAGGACTTTCACTTCATGTTTGGATATGATGGAAGGGGAAGGGACTCTTGTTAAGGCTTACATTGCATTTCTCAGGATAACTCTTGCTCATATAAAGAACTGTGTAAGGGAAGTAACTGGTCAGGCCCCGTGTATCCTAAGCTAAGGTGGTCTTTAAAATATGCGCAGGTTTCCCCCTTCCCTAAGGGATCTTAGGACATTTTGAATTCTGTTCTGCTTTTGAGTGAATACTTTTTCCTATTAGGCAGGGGAGGCTTCTCAAACAGAAGTAGTATCAGAGGAAAACAAAAGCCTGATCTGGACACTGTTGAAACAAGTTCGTCCAGGAATGGACCTGTCCAAAGTTGTACTGCCTACGTTTATCTTGGAACCACGCTCTTTTCTGGACAAACTCTCTGACTACTACTATCATGCGGATTTCTTGTCTGAGTGAGTCTGTTCTTAGCTTCTTTTTATGGGCAAAATATTGAAATGGTTTTGTAGTTTTGTGTTTGTCTTGTTTAAACTGGTGCATAGAATGCTGTGCGCCCAAAAGATGGTCTGCCAACATATCAAAAGCTATGCTGTAAGATTTTCTTGGCTCATAAAGGAGAAATGACTAAAGTTGAGATGTTGCATATCGCAGGCAAAATCTTATGGTAAGAATTGGATAGCAACTTTCACTCATGTTTCAAGCAGCACTGACAGGAACAAAAGAGAAACCCTTCAAAATCTGGTCTTTTAAGGGAACTTTCTCTCCTCTTAAGTTACAAAGTAGTTGCTATTTAAATGCATCTTTGAATGGGGTGGGGTGGAATATGCTGTCACATACAGCCTAGATTAATTCATTTGCTTTATCTGAGCAAATAAAGAGATACAAAGGATGTGACATGGAATATTCTGCTACTTCAGGTCTAATTTGCTGTGCCCGTTAGAGCTGCTTTTTTCCTTTGCTTAAAAAAAAAAAAAAAGTGTCCTCTGTAGATTGGAAATTGCATGGGCAAGGTTTAATGGTGCAGGGGTTGAGATGATACTATATCTTTGCAATGCTGCTCATGTTCTTCAGAACTGAGCATATTTGGTCTGCAGAAGAAATACTTTTTCCACAGCCTTTTTAAGTGTAGTATGGGAAAAATGCATAAATCTTAAAAGTTTTAAATTATCCATATAAAATAAATACAAAAAGGATTCTACTTCAGACGGTAAACTTCTGAAGTGAACTACATCTGTTTTGATCTACATTATTAAACTACAGTGGAAAAGAACAAAAGATGATAAACTAAAACAAAATAGTTAAATTTCAAGAATGCTGAAGCATCTCAAAATGAAAATGTCTCTATTTAGGATGCTTAACTCTGCATTACCAACTTGTTCATTCTACCTATCCATTCTAACTAGTAGAAGAATTTTTCTCCCCACTTTACATTAGGAAGAACTTGCAAAAAAAGAAAATAAATAAGTTTTAAGAGGTAGTCTCTTGAATTTTGTAAAAAGTTGTACTATGATTATTTCTTTTATATGGTAGCGTTCTACTATAGTATATTCAAACAGTTTGGCTGTTGGAAAAAGAAATCTTGGAATATTCATAATCCTCATCTGCAGACTTGTTGCTAGCTGTGTCCATTATGTAACCAGCAGATAAAACTGTACCTGTATACCTAAAAAAAAAAAGATGTGTGCTCTTACCTATTCTGCTTGCATCAATTCAAAAACTGATGACAAGGTTTATCTCCAGTTCAGTGAGGATATGGTTTAAGTAGAGTTATTTGGAAATGCCAGAAGATGTGCCATCTGAAATACTTTAGTTTTATCAAACCTAGGGCATGAATCCATGAGAAACCTGGCTGAAGTTTTGGTGGCTTGTAGGTAATTTAGTGCTCTATTTTATATTGAAGGGGGTTTCTGCTACAAAATTTTCTTTCTCTGAAAGTTTTAGAAAATAATCATTTCATTTTGATTCGGACTGAACTAAAATATTCTTTTTGCAACCTGAACGTGTTTTGCCCTGCTGTATTGCAGTACATAGCCATGTAATTCAATAATGATGGTAGATTACAAATGATTGGATATCTATTGTGGTGTTTCAATCTGATCTTTAATCTGATAATTTTATGTAATGTTTCATAGGGCAGCTCTTGAAGAGAATGCTTACAATCGTTTGAAGAAAGTAGTAAAATGGTATTTGTCGGGATTCTACAAAAAACCACAGGTAACTTTCTACATCTTATTCTTGCCATTGATTAAGAAAGAATGGTAATAGTAACAGTAATTATGTTAATTTACTTTTTAAGTATAACATGTACAAATAAATAAAACTCTTCTGTTTTTGAATGCAAGCAGCATTTAAAATACTCAGTACCTGTTTGTTTTTTAAGTAAATGTTGAAATACCCAACTTGTTTAAAAATACTTATTTGCTTTGTTCCTCACTGATGATAACATTCTGTGTGGAGAGAGACTGCCTGCACTTCATAGCAGCACTTTTTTTACTCTTCAGGCTAACCCCTTTACTTTCGTATAGCTTTTTTTTCTTTCTAGTCATCCAAACGAGGTAGGGTATTTATGTGGCAGTTGGCTTAGTCTGCTTAATCTCAGGCAAATGAATGATCAAACTTTGCTCCTATAAGAACCTGGTGTCTCCCATTATACACAAAGGGAAAAGCAAATACTTGCTGGATCTTCCATTGTCCCTCAGAATTTGTGGGTGCAGTCCTCAAAGACCAACTCTTTTACTGTGCATTCTAACAAAAGTGGGTTTTTTTCATTTTATTTTTGATAATGCTAATGCCAGTTTTGTTGCATAGTATTTTTTAAGGTGTATGCTTGTCTTGTATGATCAATTTGTCTACGATGTTTCTGTACAGGGGCTAAAAAAACCATATAATCCTATACTCGGTGAGACTTTCCGCTGCATGTGGATTCATCCAAGGACCAACAGCAAAACTTTTTACATTGCTGAACAGGTATTAGCCAAAATGTTTTAGAATTGTAATAGACGCCTCAAGAATTTGGCAGCAGTTGATTCATTTGGCTTTGATTTGATAAAGAAACGTTCAATAAAGATCTTCTGAAGACTTCTGTTGGTCTCCATTGGGTAAACTTTTTAAGCACGTGCATAAACTAAAATGTGAAAGCAGTCCCCTGGCTCCTTTTACACTGATTCTCACTGCCTTGATGAGTATTAAGAGCCGAAGTTGTTGCATGACATTTTCTTCGGGTTTGCTTACTCAGGAGGATAGCATGCAGTTTTGGAGAAACCTAGTAAGATCACTTCATAAAGCTGCTGCCTTGGGGACTTGCTACTATCTGACTAATGCACCAAGAGCAGGTGTTGGATTGCTTTTGGTGAGGGAACAGGGTGCTGGCAGAGCTGCGTTTGTCTTTCTGTTCAAGTAATTGAGTTCCTCAGCTCACCTTCTCTCAGATGTCGCTCTTAATTCCAGGACAGTTGCAGACAAAGGGAATGACTTGTAAGAAGGAAGGAGTTTGTGTCTGAATGCATCTCCTCTGTGTTACACCTCTGTTTCAGAATAATATATCTAATGTATCCTTTAGTTCAGGATAGAGGTGATATTTCTATCTGTGAGAGGAAGTTGCATGTTCACTCTTCCACATATTCCTCAGAGGTAATTCCTTAGCCATACAGCTAGGTATCCAGTTCCTGTAGTAGGTTTCTAGTGAGGCTATAAATTCAAAAACTGAGTTGCTGTTGATCAAATTAACCATGCTATGCCCATCTGAGAGCAAGGCTGAGCTAGTTGCTGCATCAAAAGAAAACCAGTTCTGTTTGAATATCCATCATGCACAGTATTGTAGATTAGTCTGAATGAAAGTGGAGCAGAACTAATGAACCCATGTGGCATGGATTTCCCATGTCAGTATATTCCATTCTTCAGCACCCAAATAGATTTAACAGAAACATTTGAGTCTTTCTTCAGAAAATTGGCTGTGGCCATTGGAGACAGTTTTTTAGCTTAGATTTTTTTTTTTAAATTGAGCAGCCCTTACATGACTACACCTATTCTGTGAGTAAATATGATTTATTGAATAGCATGTTCACATAGTCTAGCATTTAAAGTTTCCTCCTTCTCATTTCTTCAACACCCTTATTGAATGCAAGGGCAGGTACTACTTTAAATATCTTCCAACCTCTTAGCTGTAACAATTTTACCTCTTGGATTTCCAGTTACCATATTTTCTTGCATACCATATGCCCCAAATAAGACACGCACCTTAGGGTAGGCAGAATGAATGAAAAGATTTTTCCAAAATTGTGGCTGAAAGCTGATTGCAGGGAGCTCACTGGCTATTTCAGGAAAAAGTTGACTGAGCAGCCAAATTGGCAGCAGCTATCAAGGCTAAAACTAACTTTTGCCTGAATTGCTCAGCTGGCTGAGGGCCGGTGACCTATTCCATGCAGTCAGCTGTCAGCCCTGATTCTGGAAAAAACTTACTTTAAGTTCTGCCTGCCCACAAAGAGGCACAAGGCCTATATGGTATGCAAGTAAATATAGTGTATGCATCTTCATTTTCCTCCTTTTTTATTTTTGGCAGTTCATTAACTAGCACAAGACTTATTACAAAGTGTTATCTGCTTATGTTCAAATATGTCTTTCAACAGGTGTCTCATCACCCCCCAGTATCTGCTTTCTATGTTAGCAACCGGAAGGATGGGTTTTGTCTCAGTGGTAGCATTCTGGCCAAATCCAAGTTCTATGGTAAATTTCTATACTATTGTTCACAGAATCTGTTGGAGGAGTTGGAAATTCAATTAAGTATTTTAATGAGTGGCATCTGAAGCCATAGCTCTCTTGTTCTATAAATTGTATTTAAGACTTCAAAAGCCATATAAGCATTGAAGAATCAGATTAGTTACTTTAGGATTTGTCCTTCCCCATATAAAACTTCATGACAACTCCAGCTTCTGCTGCATGCTCTATGCCAGAAGCAGAGCTACTGCCACCTGCTACATGCCTTATGCCATGGTAGTGGTACATGGGGCATATGGTGATGACAGCTCCAGCTCCGGCTTCAGCATGGGGCATACAGTATACAGCAACAGCAGGGCTGCAGCCAAGGAGGGTAGGACTGCTTTGATGACAAGTGAAACAACAGCTAGGGAGTGACTGGGACTGTATCAGCCTTCACTGTCCCTCCTGCTGCTGATGGCCATGTTCACTGGACCCCAAAGTCCTGGGATTCTGCAGCAATCCAATCCCCCAGCCATGATCCCAACTTGTGGTAGCCTGGCAAGCCAGGTAGAGCAGCTCTGCAGACCAGATCTGCCCCTCACATGCCCCTTCCTGCCCTCCACCTTCTCCCCCCCGCCATAAAGGATCAAAATGTAACAGTAGGTAGTCCCGTCTGCTTAATTGATCATTTTGCTGATTTTGAAATGCCTGTTGTCTAGGAGTTTGGAAAAATACATAATTTCATTATAGCTTCTTTGTCTTTCAGGAAATTCATTGTCTGCCATACTGGAAGGAGAAGGTCGGTTAATGTTCCTAAATAGAGGGGAGGATTATGTAATGACCATGCCATATGCTCATTGTAAAGGTAGGTTCTTCCCATTCAGGAGGTAAAAATGTTCTAAAAATAGAGATTCTCCTAAACTGTGGATAAGCTTGATATAGAGACAGTCTACTGTAAAGTGAATATGTCTGAATGTGTATAATACTAACCGTTATTTTAATTCTAGGTGTTCCTAGTTTTTAACACAATATAAAAAAATTATTTTTTCTGTTACTTAGCTATTTCTGTTTTAATTAATTTTGAAGCAATCCTATTTTAATAGCAAAAAATACAAATATGCTTGGAGTTGCATTAAAAATAAATAATTAAAATCAAAAGCTGATTGATTTGACTACCTGAGCTGTTTCACTGCTTTTCTGACCTAGAGGTCTGGATATTTTTAACTAGTTTTTAAATGCTGCCTGGCTCTTTCCCCACTTCCAGTTTTTTCTCCTTATCTAGTTTTACAGCAGTATATATGAAATCATGTTTCTAGCTGTTCCCAAAGTGTTTATTTTGTTTACTTAACAGTGGATGTGCCTATACATCTTCCCATGAACTGTTTTATTTTTATCTAATTTTTACATAATTCTTTCACTGCGAAGCCAGCACTTCAGCTTTTTTATTAGAGAGCTTGCTTCTGATGATATTCTTGAGAACTGAACTAAATGTTTAGCTGCCTCATTGAAAGTTAAAATATTTCCTTGAGGCTCCCCAAAATAAATGAAGATAGGGAAACGTGTGTTACTCTAATATTCTCTTCAATTAGAAAACAGAGACTATTCAGTGTTTATAACATTCAAAAGGTCTGTCAAGCCTGCTTATGTGGCTTGCCAACAATGTACAATTGTCTGCCTATAGTCACTTCTCAGTGGGAAATATGTTGGTGCTTTATACGAATATTTGGATTATATGATGGGCAGTAGGACACATTTGAACTAGAATGACTCTGGTTGTAACACTATTTGCTCTTTATCCAGTGTGTCCAACCATATATCAGCAGAGATTGACCACAAGGCACAGAGGCTGTCACTTCTGAAAATGTTGCTGCATAGTAAAATAAGAAATCGAAATGAACTGTGCATAGTTGAATGTTGGAATGTTTAGTTATGTTTTTCCCACTTCTTTCTGGGTTCTTAATGTTTTGTTTCATGCCAGAAATACTGTGCGTTTGTGTCAAACCACACAAAATAATACCTACATAAGTACAGCCATATGTATCTTTAATAGAGTTGCTGTTTCCCTGCTATCAGTACTACTACTCCTGTAGTCTTATGTTTGTTTAGCTTGAATAACTATGTGTATACATTTGGTGTGTTTTAATTTGAAAATTGTGACATCTATTTCACTCCTGTATGTTGGGAGCAGAAAGGGGCGATTTGGCTCAGTCATGGGAAGACATGCTTTCAATAAACTCATCCCCCACACAATCGTATTAAGACCACATTTCAAGTAAGTTTTCATCTGGTGAAAACCTACTGATCAAGTGAATTTCCTTTGCTTACTTGATTAGCAGGATATTTACTATCTGTCTGCAAACTCCTGTTAGCATATCTCCTATTGGTAAAAGTAAATGTCCCTCATTGAAGTCAGCAACGTGTACTTCCAAAGCAAGCAGCTCTTAATTCATCTTTCTTACGGGTAGTACAGCTGGTGTGGTTCAGTTTTCATTACAGTACTTGAAACAGTGATAGGCAGCCCATAGTCCTGACTGGGGGAGAGAAATTCTGAAAAAGAAGGGCTTCCTTACCTGTCTGCTCCATCAAACACCGAAACATTCACTCTGAAGTATTTGAACAAAGATTTTTTTGTGTGTGTGCATCTTGCTTTAATTATGTATAGAAGGTAAAAGCCCATTGAAGGGAATTTATTTTCATCTTGTAAAAGATGAGCTCTGCTTTTCTGCAGGAATTCTTTATGGCACAATGACTTTAGAGCTTGGGGGAACTGTCAACATTACATGCGAGAAGACTGGATACAGTGCAACAATTGAATTCAGATTAAAGGTCAGAAGGTTTTTATGTGGACAAGTGGGTGCAACAAGTACATTTTAAATTTGGAGAGAACTCTTACCAAGTCAATATTTAGAATTTCCAAATCAGTCTGTGGTACCTGTCTTTAACTGCTGCAGGCTTAATTATACAGTTAAAAAATGTATAACCATTATTATAAACTGCTACCGACAAAGCCATGCAAATCTAGCAAGTAAAAAATCCTTCAGGATTAATGCTGATGTGGATCACTAGTTAGCATACTCTTGTTCAAAGGTCCCAGATTTATACTGGACTTAAAACTCTGTTCTTAATGATATAGTATGCATGTGCTGTGGGTCAAAGGAAGCACTTAAACCAGTGGGTTTGGCAGGGGGAGGGGGTTGGCTCTGTTCATAATAAAATTCAAGAACCCCATTGCCTTTTTAAAAAAGATGAAAAAATGATTTCAGTGGTTGGACTAACATTCTTCATCTTTAAAGTTTGTTTTTCTGTCCAAGGCCTTGTGACAGCCACATGGATTATATCATAGCTGCTATATTTGCTATTAAAATAAAAATCTTACAAATCTCTTTAGTTAAATACAAGACCAAAAATAGATGGGTAAAATCTTTCCATGCTATTGATACTTTATTAGATATCTAAATTATGCCCTCTGCCATAAGGAGTCCTCATGCTTTTTAATTGGGATGATACACTGAGATGCAACAACCCCTCAAGTGACATGTGACAATACCTCTGGTAACAAATTGCTGCCCAACAGTGTGTCGTAGTGTTGCTCTCATGCTGACTTAGAGGATAGCATCATTTGCTAGATCGCCAGTGCTGTTTCGTGCAGCATTCTGCAGGAGATCTGATCACATCATCTCAGCACAGCTTCTGAGAAATGAGAGGATAACAGAAGAAGCTGCTCTGGCTGGAGGCCTCATCCCATGGTTTAGATGGTCACAGGACGCACCTACATGTGTCCCTACAGCACAGTTGTTACTGTGCCATCATTTAGTACTTCCTTTTAGAAATGCTAGATGATGGCGCAGTAACAGCTGGTACTGTGCCATGCTGGCAGAGCACAGTTATTTTTTAGCTGCTACGTTGCTATAGCAATGTGCTATAACAAGGGAGTGCATTGCTACAGCAATGTAGCTGTGGTGTCACAGTTTGCGCCCACCGACGCTACGTCTTTCATAGTGTGCTGCTACAGCGGCATAGTCACGTGTAGACGCACCCAGAGACTTGGATTGAAAGTAATCTGGCTTGTCATACCAGTGACATGAGAAATAAATCTTCTTCCTCAACCTCCCTCCCCCTTCAATAACTTGTCTTGTATACAAACATTGTATTAAACTAGAAAATAAACTAATATCTTTTTTAATTGTTTTATTTTGTAGCCGTTTTTGGGCAACAGTGATAGTGTTAATCAAATATCAGGGAAAATTAAACTGGGCAAAGAAGTTCTGGCTATTCTGGAGGGTCACTGGGTGAGTAATGATTGAGTTTTTATTTTATAAACTTTGCCTGTAATTAGGAAATTACAAGTGAATAAAAATCTCCTTTCATATTTTTAAGTTTGCCTAGAGATCAAGCTATGTTATTTTGCCTGTAAAAACTGATGCTGTAGAATTGCATCTTTATATTGACAGTCTTGCTATATAAACCCAGCTTTCAAGAATGTCTCTACAATCTAGATAACAAGATTTGTTTGTCACTATGTAGCTCTCTGCAAGGGAAAAGTTGTCTGGAAAGGGTGCATTGTACCAGAGAGAGAGAGAGAGATTATGAATCGGTAGCAATATCTTACAGAATGATATAATTGATATAATTACAGCCTAATATACACCTAGAAAACAAAGGGCTTGCCTATATTAGCAGGCATCTCTGTAGCCCCCTAGTAGAGATGTAGCATATGGTAGCAGAAAGGATTTTCCTGCCGGTGGCTACACCACCACTGCAGACAATGTAAATTTAAACCAGCAGAAGCCCTCTTCAGTTGACAAAGCTGTCTCTAAACTGGGGGTTTTGCTGGCATAGCTATGCTGGCAAAGCTTTATAGCATAGCCCAGGAGTTTTCAACCTTTTTGGGTCAATGTACTCCCGCAGCTGGATGCAGAGTGGGCTGGTGTATGGCTAAATGTGGAGTGGTGGCAGCCGCTGCATACAACTTTCCCCCAACATCCGGGCGGGTGGGCGGCCCCTGATGTGTAGCGGTGCTCTATCCCTGCCCACCTGCACGTACCCCCCAGGGCCTTCTCAAGTACCTCTGCGGGTACGTATACCCCCAGTTGACAACCCCTGGCATAGACCATGCAGGAGACCTGGAGTTCAAAGCTGCATCCTAGTATATTAAGTTTTGAGGCACTACTGCTTTGTTGTAGTATTAGAGCCCCATTAGTCAATACACATGGGCTTTGATATGCAGTTAGTTTAAAAAGCATGGAGAAAAATATGTCCATGTTTTTCTGGTTCTGCAAAGATATTTTCTAGACTCCCTTTTTTTTCTAAGCTATTTTAAAGGATTGAAAATCTAATTTTGTACATTTTTGTAGCAAAACTATAATATGTAACATACCTGCATACTTATGAGCCATCTGTACAGTAATCTAGTGCTTAACTGATAGCAGAAACTTCCTAGAAGATTTTCTTCAGCAGCACTGAAAGAGGATGACTTTGAGAGAGATGAAGTACATGAGGATAAATCGCAATAGCTTATTCAAGGCTTGTGGGATGTGTATCCTAGCTTTGCTGTTTTATGAAGTTAGCACGTAAGAATATATTTTGTTTAATAATCACTTGCAGTTCACAATTTAAAACTCCCAAGTTCAAGTTGTCTAAATAGGTTTTGTGATGCGTCCTAAACCAGAGGGTTTTCTAGATCTATTTTAATTATAACCAAACTTTTTTTTTCTTTCTTACTGAGGTGCAACCAAATTACCTACGTTAAGGTATAAGTCTTATTCTGTGTCTGTACTACAATCCAAGGCATGACTGGGCCATGGGTAGATATATCCACAATATAACTAGTCCAGGTAGCAATAGCAGTAAAGATGTGGTTGCATATACTTCAGTATAAATATGTTTCTAGAGTTCCTGGTAGATGTGTACAGCTACTGCACTCACTGCTTCAGTTTTCAATACTAGCACCATTGGAGCTATGGCTTCTCTGGCTGCAGTCACATCTTCAGCTGAAGTGTAACCTTAACTTGTGCACTGCTACTTGGCATTGTCACACTAAGACTTAATGGGTTTTTGAAGTGCTGAACGAGAGGATATTGCAATAAAGCAACTATAAAACAAGTTTTTCTCATACATTAACACGTCTCCTGGAATTCACCCTCCAGCGCAAGGTGGCGAAAGCCTCCAGCAGGGCAGCAGCCCTCAACTTCAGGAGGGCGGACTTTAATGAGGTAAGAAGACTAGTGGGGGAAGCACTGAGGTCCCAGACCTTGAGGGAGTTGAGTGTCCAGGAGAATCGATCGCTCCTTAAGGAGACGATCCTCCAAGCTC